CTGCTTCTCCTGCTTTCAAGTGTTTTGGAGAATAGGTTGACTCCCTCTTTATGGCAACTCCTTAGATCGTGATGGCAAACCTATGTCTCTGCATCCATGCGAGCCGTCGCCCAGATCAGCTCCGCTGCACATGTGCACGCACCTCCTGCCAACCAGCTGATTTTTGGGTCTCTGTTGGGAGACGTGCATGCATGCAAGGGGGTGGGGAGATTACGCTGTTCCTCCCACCATCTGGTTTTGGTTCCAGCCACCTGGGGCCAAAATAGTCCAAGGAGGCTTCAGGGAGATCTGCTAGCACCAAAAAGGGGGTTGTGCGCACATGTGTGGAGGGAGCGTGGGAGGGACATTGGAGTATAGGTGCGTGCATGCACAGGGGGCAGGGCCTGTGGGGGGCATTGGATTATGGCACCCAAGGAAAAAAGGTTCGTCTCAACATATTTTTTACATCATGGCAACCAAAATTGGTGTGGTTTTACCAAGGCATTGTAGAGTGGTATTAACATTTCATTTGATCTCCATGTGAATTTTACCATCTCATGCCATCACTTTTAGTTCTGAATCCTTCCTTTTCTTTGCTGTCGGAACTGCCCTGTTCCATCAATGAACAAATATTCTCATGTGGAGAAGCATCTTACTCTGAGCCATAATGAATCATCATCATTAATCACAACACTTGCACAGATAGCTACCAAACTCTTCTCTTCCAATCTTTTATCAAGCATTCTCTTCAAATTTTCAAGAATCTTCATTTTCTAGCATTGTTCTAAGTATTGTTCTTAGACCAGATCAAGAATAACATTTATGTCATATCACATCATCATCACTTAATGACCATTCTGGAAGCTGGAAATGAGAGGAACTTTCGGCTTTATTGCTTATATTTTATTCCCTTTGAATGGACAGCACGAATTATTATCCTGAGACACCCTTGGTGCATCATTCACATGATTTCCACTCAGGATCACATTCAACAATTAACTTACTTTGACACAACCACATTTGATTATGACTTGCAGTTCCAGGTACCATCACTGCCCTTCCAACATCGATTCTAGTAAGATTATCTATCATTTCTTCAATAATGCAAACACTTGCCTTCATGTTAACTGTGCTACTACAGCAGTTACAAGTCCTACATTGGAAATGAATGTGCATTGCTTGCCTGTTCAGGTTTCAAGGAGTCCTTAGTGATAGTTAGTGTGTTTCTCTTATAAAAATGGAAGGCTATGCGCGTGATCAGTTGGTATTGCCTGTGCCTAAACTCCTATGTTCTTAACAGCTTTTTTGCATGGCTCTTAAGCTTAGTTATAACAGTTCATCGCAGGTTTCAAATTGTACATGTGGATATTTGCTGCACAATAGCTCACCTGTGCTTGGCAACCCTGAAGCAGCTTCTGCATCTATAACTACTAAACTAGAAAAATATAAGGTACTATAGAACAGAAGTTTTGTCATTCATTGCCAAAAATATGCTACAGTAATAGAAATCACTTAAAGCAGGATTCAGTCTCTGAATCAAGAGACTTCCTGTCGATTGGAGTGGAGTAAAAACACCCCTACGGACAAACCAGAAGTGATGTTCGGTTTGCTCATAGGGTTGTTTTTCATCCTCCAGAGCTTTCAGGGAAGCCTCCTGAAGGTTCCTGAAGGCTCCAGAGGACTAAAAACGGCCCTACGGACAAACCGGAAGTCTGTTCCCGAAC